GTGCAAGGAAAACACTCTATTATTATCTGGATAGAGCAAATTAAATGAAAATGTAGACAATGGGATATGGTTAAAAAAATATAATAATAAAAAATAAAAATGCTTATGCAGAAAAGAGAAAATAATATTGCAAAGGGGAGGCACGAGTCTTGTCACCGCTCACAAAAGTTCTTGTGCACCTGGCCTACAAACCGTATACCCATCAGAGTGGCAGCTCAAGTAAGCCTAATGCCCGTATTTTGGTCCACGTGTGGTCAGCGAAGCATCCAGATCCAAGGGGTTAAGAATGAAATAGTCATTTATATACAGATCATAAACACAAAGGTAGGTTATCTTACACTTCTTGAACTGGTATTTCAAGGTGTCTCGCTGCTGTAGTGACAAAGGTATGGTAAGAACGTAAGACAGCAGGTTCATGTCCACGGCATTCTACTTCTACCAAGCTGTACAGTTTGTCAGGCTCACCCACAGTCAGACCCTGTAATCATCAATAAGATTTCCAGACCTATCCTAGTATTGCTCAAATACATATACTGTAAACACGGTTAGAGATGACAAAGTTTCAAGTTATACTGTCATAAAATATGAGAGAAACTGTCTACAGATTAAATGTCTAGTAATTAGCTTCATATACACACAATATTTATGTCTGTCAATTACAATATTACACACATTAAGACCTAACAAGTTTATAGCAATATCAAACACAACTTGATTTCCACAAAAAAAAGATCTAGAGACAAGAGTAGCAAGACAAAACAGAGAGAATCTATTTCATCACCCATATTTTTTCCCCATCTCTCCTAAGATGTTTTCCCTCTAAAATATAATCTGCATTTGAAAAAATTAATAAATGCATATTCATTGCAGTATAGGACACAGGACACATTACTCATAAATCATGTTAACTTCATACGTCAAAAGTTCCATCATTAGATTATGCCTATTTTTCATTCCAATAAAAATATACTGATTTTTGCAAATGTAATATATAATGAAATCACAATACAAGATTATGATATGGGAGAGATAACAACAATAATAATCTACTTGAAATATACTAACAGACCAGTACAGTAAAGAAAATGGAGAAAATTTGCTACATAACAACAAACACGAGCTTCTGAATACATCCGAGACATGATACAAGATGATTAAAAGCAACTTCTATTGTATACTTACAACTTCAGACGGTGAAAGGTTTAAAGTCGAAGAGTGGAGCAGTCTGGAACTGTATACAGTCGGTGTTGATGCAGAGGGAACAGATAATGGTGTATGTTTTCTGCTTCCATTTAACCATGCCGCTGATGCTAAAGATGCCCATGATGTTGACTTTCCTACGGCATTACTTCCACTGAAACTGCTTCCTGCCTGTAATAAAGACGACTGATTTTAACAGATGTTCCGCTTTCTGCTCCCTTCATTAATGTAATGAAAACTATATTATGTAATATAGAATGCCTCTGTAATATATGTAAAATTTAAGTACCTTGCTATTCAAGGAAAGAGTGTATTCATTCATACAATATTAGTTTTCTTATATATTCCAAATTTTGTACAAAAAGGCAATGCTTATGGATATAATGCATAAATGTAACTTATCATTTCATAGAACATTTTATTTCGCCATCAGTTTTCAATGTGAACAGACTCCAAAAATAAACATTCAACATTATAAATGACAAGATTTTTTTCCTGACCAGGTGATATAACACATATCCATAAGAAAGTGAAAAAATATCAAAAGTATCAAATAACAAAGCAGGCATTAACAAACTTCTCACAACTGACAGCACTACAAACTCACTGCCCTCGCAACTGACTATTGTTATTGTCGCATCAACATGGCTTGAGCCGGCAAAGGAAGAGCAAATGAATGGTGTTCCTGGATGTTCCCGAGTCCACTAGAGAGTTCAAAATGTATGCCTACAAGAAGGACAGATCACAGAGATAAAATATATTCTTCACAGCCCTATGCTGCTGCCATATTTTATTTTTTGCCGATATTCTCTGCTTTTGTACATAAATGCTCCCTCAATATAATGGTCTGATTGTTTGTGACAATTTTTAACTATCATATACAATAGACTTACCATTTTTATACAAAGCTTGTACACAATGGTTAAATGTAAAGCCATAAGGATCATCTCCAAAAAAACTAATATTTTATTTATGATCAACGAAAATTAATGATTTAAGGCAGGACTATAAATATACCAAGAAAAAAAAAATCAACTTATCTATATAAATGTGAATATTTTACCATTGTAGAGTCCATTTGATTCCCTTTTCAAGTATCAAACCTTCTGAATATGAAGATATTATAAAACTTAAAAGCTGAATATGTATACATTCCTTTTCAAATAAAAGTAAAAATGTTTTGTGCTATTTCAGTTATCCTTATCAATCTACTACTCACTTTTACATCATTTACCTGATATTATAAGCTTACCTAAGATCTCTATTCTATATCAGTTATCACTGTTATATCATTCTTAAACTTCTCTATATTTTCAGAATTATATTAAGTTTCTCCTATATACAATATTGTAAAACCATCAAAGTTGAAACTTGATAAAATCAAATCTGAAGACCCACTGACACAGGATATAAAATTTCAACTTCATCAACAATACAATCTATCACACTAACACTTGCATATCACATAATACTTTAAAAATAAGGATGAAGCAGGTAAAAGAAAAGTCATTACAGCAAATAGTAAACGCAGTTATGTAAGATTTGTATGAAAGAACACACTATTTCCTATCCACGAAAATAAAAATATGTGTTGGAATACATATATTGCCTGTCCTTTTACTGTCTTCTTATAGCTAAACACCAAACTACAGACATATATAAAACACCTATATATGCAGCCATACTGAACCATTTCTTAAAATGTAACTCAAGCATAATTGTTTATCTCCTACATTCATTCAAATTTCATATTCTAAAGCAGTGTTCTTCTGCCCACAAATTGGCAGATGTGCAAAAGGATCTAGAAGTCATATGTGGAATATAACTTTTCAAGAATAACTACTTTGCAAACAAACAATAAAGTGTACAGACCTTGGCCTACAATAACAAGGAAGTTGCAAGCTCACTACATTTGATTTCCTTATTGACTTCTTGCATTTACACTAAACAAAAGTCTTTTTTTGTTCCTAGTATGAATAATAAAAAACACCTTATGTCTCTATTCCTGAGGATTATTTGTCTGTTGCCAACTGCAAAGGCCTTGAGAGGTACGAGGAATTATTTGACTCACGGGTGGCAAGGTGGTGAGTAATCGCCAAATTAACCATTTGCAACGGGTACAGGCAACGTCAACTGAAGTTTTGTTTTGTTATTTTTGTTTACACTTCGATGATACTGAAAGCATTTTGTCATCCAGTTGCTAATTAATAGACCTACCTACCCATTCATTCACTGATTTTTTAGTAAAAATTTTACATTTCTTTCACAATTATTAAGATAATGCTATCTTGATAATCAGCATTATCATTATCACAGCCATGCTAACAATACTATTGATACTCATTAATTTTCTGACCCTAAAATCTCCCCCTACCTATGACAATATCTTAAATTATGTTATAAATTGTTAATACTGAAACAAAAGAAGACAATTTTTTTGCCCAAAAATGCTGAAAGAAATAATCAAATATTGCAATATATGTAATACCATCAACCCAACAGAAAAATTTTTCTGCAACACTCAGCGAGTCCCATGATATAGTTACATATTATGAAAAATATGAAATAGTTTAACATTGGAGCAAACATTGGTGAATGCAGCCATCGGCACTATCCAGAGAATTGTTGTGGTCATGCAGTACTGCGTAAAACTAATACTACTACAGTCTATCGACAAGTAAAGGCTTTCAGATAGCTCCCATACTAAAAACAGTTTATTCTTAATTTCCCAGACAATTTTTTGTCAGTCAAACCAAACCTTTTGGATGAGTATGTACATCAAGAATCCTTATATTTTGCAAAAGTTTAATTCATTACTATAAATGCTATACACTCAGCAAAAAATAAATAAAAAATAAAAAAAATATATTGTCTACCATACTACTATTTTCAACCAATTGTTAACTTTCATTGACTGACATACTGCACTTTAGTGTGTACTAGTCTACATTATCATTGACTAATAATCCTAAACTGAAATTGAAAAATGTATTAAGGCATAAACTAGTAAAAGATACATCAAACAATAGCAGCAGCTTCTGTGTGTCTGAACTACAGCAAAGGACAACAAAATCCAAACTTCAAAGGCAAGAACAAGTTTCAACAGTTTCCTTGTTAGATAATAATTGCCAAAAAATGAAAATATGATATTTGGAGTGGTTCCTTGTTTAACGATAATTAAGAAAGAAGAAGAAAAAAAAAGTTTGATGGGGTTTCTACCCCCCCACATCCCACAGAACTGACAACTGAAACTAATTACCCTCTACAAGAATATCATCTTCAAACTGCCATAGCTTAGTGTGTCCATACCATAAAGATTAACCCATGATAAATAGTGATAAACTACTATGACAATGTTGGTACTGTTTTTTCTATATAAAGCTAGGAATGTCTTTTAACATCACACATGATGGATATGATCCAACAAATGTTCCAACCATTTCTTGTGTATGTATAAATTACCAAAGAATTTAAAATTATATTTTTCATGAATATAAACACAGGCCCCTATCATACGGAACACAAACATCAAACAAAACTAAAGTGCACTATTTATGATTCAATTTTATGATGTTATTGTGAGTGAAGCAGAGTGATAAAGGGAAATGGATACAGCCATCTTATAGAGCATAAGAAATAGTGTCATAAACAACACAGGTACAGCTGCTGCAGCCTAATATTTACTGCAAAATTACAAAAATAACTGCTTCATATCACCACTTGAGATTAAATCCACAAAACTCTCACACAGACAGAGTTCTCAATGCCACATTTTCTATGATTCCTCTTTGCCACAACTC